CAAAAGTTGGTTGCACATAGGGACTCAGATTGACTGATGTCGACATATTTGGAATATTGGCCTTAAAATACCGTATAATATAAAAGCTAATGATTTGCAAATCTATCATTATATATTTTTAAAGCCACTATAATCATGTTTTTTAAGCCTCTTAAGGTCAGTTATGGACAAATATATGATAACATTATGCTATTAGAACAATAAGTGTTTTAATTTGTCATGAAACTTTGTTATTTTTTTTGTTTTCAAACTTGAAGAAAAACAAACCTTCATAGGGAAGCCTGCCTCTCCTGTCTGGGTGCCGCACATTTCACCAGATCCCTGTATCCCACAATTTCAAACGGCTGAACAAAGTCTGAGACCTCCTACAGCCAAAAATCTGATTTTCACTACTTAGACATTAGCTAAAAAGGAGAGGTGGCTTTCATATGCTGATTAGCTGCTAAAAAGCCACCATGTCTCATCTTTATACTGGAATTTTGGGGTTTGTTTACAGTGCTGGTATAGCCTGGTTAAGGTAGCTGCATTCTGGAGGTGCATTCCTCTCATTGCACGTTTTTACAGGTGAAGGACAGGCTGCTGCTCAGACAGCACAACCCATGAGATTTAGGCAGTGTAATACGACTCTGTTTGGATGAAGGGATACCATTGTAAAGTAGTTCAAAGCTTAATTTTTATTTTTTGCACAGGAATGTTTCTTGGGTGCATGTCAAATGTAGGCTTAAATGTAAGACTTGCTTTTTTAGTTTATAACAAGTCCGAGTTGAAATGGACTTAGGATTTAAATCTGATTCATATTGACTGTTAGCATTTTAGATATGGGATGACACAAAATGAAGTTGACAGGAAAGCTAAGTAAGATTCACGTTTTAGGATGGTTTCAGATGCTGTGGTGAATATATGCTGAGCATCATAATTATTATTCCCTCCGTCCTTCCCTGATATGTCTCTACACTTTTTTTGACACTTCAAGGTATGCTATTACCACAGCCATGCTGATTTTTTATTTGTCTTTTACAAGACAACCTCAAGATTTCTGCATGTAAAAATTCAACTGGTGTTTTGCCAAGCAGAAGAAGCCGACTGAAAAAGCTTAACTTTGTCTGTGTAAGTGCCTGATGCAAAGCTCTGCCCCCCAACACCCATCTGTCAGTGTGATATGTCAGCGGGGATTGAGGAGGTGGATTTGTCTCTTTGCTTGTCAGAGACTGACTGCTTAATGTCATGACGCTGGAAGTACAACAATCACACATCATTTGTTTCTTCTTGGAGGGTCTTTAAAACCCCCTGCATTATTTTTCATCTTTGACTTCTATTAAAGTAAAGAATTACAGTAGACAGTTAAAAAAAACATATTGTTACAAACCTTTTTCTTAAATATGTGTTATGTTTAATTGTTCTTTCTATTACTGGTCTGCTATATCTAAAGCAACTTGGTGAAATTATCCTAATGACAAACATAAAGCTTGTGTGTCCCTTGGAGTTTATCAAGCTTGTTTAATTAGAGCCAAACATCATTAACTGTGTGATACCACTGGACCTACTAATAAATACAGACAGTCTAATTAGCAGAACAACATCTCCCTTGTTTCAGGAAATAAACACTTTTTTTTTTTACTTTATTAGGTTTTATCAGATGATTTGAGTAAAATCTCCATATTCTTTTTTTTTTTTACTTTTCTTTTTTTACTTAAAAAGGTAGGTATATGTTAGGAGAAGGATGTGAGATAAAGGTTGAATCAAATGCATCATAACACCAAATAAACCAGGCAATAAATAAAATATTTCTGTTGGGTTCTACTGTAACAGCCTTCCCTCTTTTTAATGCAAAATCCTGGCAGTGCTGCAGCAATACGTAATTACTTTTCCTCACCATTTTGGCCACTCAAAATGAAATCAAGCAGGGCACCTTTTCCTCTGCTTGATGCCTTTTTGTTATAGCCACCATCTTTAAAGCATCCGTCACAGCAGGTCTCCCCATCTTCACTTGTGCACCAGTCCTTCAGTCACAAACCATTCCTGACAAAATCCCACACTCAATTTTACCTGTTGCTTATTCCTTGGCATGGGCTGATAGTAAATTCTTACTATACGAAGAGGATGAGCTTTAGTTGTCTTGCCTCATAAAACTTTGTACTAACTTTATGTAGTAGCAAGACTACTGAATGACTGAAAATCAACATAAGAGAAGGAAGTTTGGAGTGGCCAAGCCAAAGTCAGGAATTAAATTCAACTCAGATACTATAGTATGAGTTTAAATGCTCTAGACCAGGGGTAAAACCACTAAATAAATGGGAGAAATCATATGTTAGCAGAGCAGTAACCTGTAAATGAAACAATGGAATGAAATGTTTAATATATATACACCTTTAACACTGGCAGAAAACTCATTTAAATCCAGGAAAAATCCGCTTTTAGTGTCAGTGGGAAACTGCTCACTCACACAGTTGACACGTGTCTAGTAGCCTAGTTGTAAAAAAAAAAAAAAAAAGGGATGGTTATTTATTAATTTTTTTTGGAAGCATACATAGCCTAATTAATAAAGTCTATTAACCTAAAGCAATATGCATGGTATGGTTGTTACATGTCAAGTACGCAGATCATTGACCTTAACCAAGGCAACTTACAGTAGAACTGCAGTCAGTCCCTGGACTGACATGGCTATTACTGCCCCTACATCATTAGGGACAAATGCAGAGGACAAATTTCCTACTTGGGTCAGCTACAGTATATAGTCATGGTAGGCCACTTCTTTGTTTTGCTAAGGCTACTTGTAAGCCCACAGCCCGCGAAATGTTGAAAGGGCAATATTATTGCCATTATTATTAACATATTGTAGAATTTTGACACATTCAGCAATAAAATGTCACAGGAGATAGTATGGGGGGATTGTCATTTAAGTAGGGAGAGGATTTTTAAGTTTTTTTAAAGAAGGGGGATGCCAACCCCCCTCAACCGTGTCTGCCGGGTCAAACGACTCAGCAAGCGACCCACATTAAAATTGGCATGGCTATTTTACACGATACCATAGAAAGCAACGTACAGACGTCAACTCACAGCGCCAGTTGCTTCTGATCTAAAAAGTCAAAAAAAACCTGTTTACATTCTTTAACATGGCACAGTGCTGGTAAGAGGGATTCGGACAGATAAAAGAGTGAAATTATAAAGAATACTGACTACGCTCTGGCTCCTGTCCATGTTGCTCTCAATTATTTAATTCCCAGACTTCTGTCGCACTGGTTACATCATCAACGCTCGCCCAGCGTGACGCTGTCATCAGACATGCAGTTGGTGGGACAGTGGCCACGCAGTTTGCCAGCAAGGGGTCAGACTTGGCTTTTCGGTCAAATGGGAAAAGAACCAAAAGCCGATTGTTAGCGGGTCAACACAGTTTTGAAAACCCCACGTTTTCAATTGGGAACCGGCTAAATACAGTTGCAACCGGTCCTTTGCAGACTTGATGATGCAGAAGTGGCACAAAATAATGACTTCGACACCCTGAGCTAGTGGATGGCTGAATTGAAACATTTCTAAAAAAGAAGATTATCAAAGGCTGTATTTTCAGTTCTTACAAACTCTTAAACTCAGTCATTGCTGCTAGAGGCAGTGTGACTATTTATACACTTTTAAAGGGGGTTGATGTATTTTTGGCCCATAATGAATGACATTGAAACTACCATTTTAATTTGCACAGGTTGTTTATATCAAATATTAAAATATGTCTGATAATCTAAAACAATTGTTATATAAAAGGAAAAACAGAAGAAAGCTGTTCCTAAAGATCCCATTAAAACTCGAGAAACTGAGCTATGACATCCTGGGGTGGCTGGTTTGGCAAAGACTCATTTATTGTCATGTTACCAGGATGACTCCAGTCAGCATTTAGACCAAATCTAAACTTACACTGTTTCAGACTGATGCCAGTAGAAGCACTTCTCTATACTGTAACCCTCACAACAATACAGCTCTATGTAAAACTTGCATAACTTAACTCTGAGTCAGAAAATTTGGAATTGTGTGCATGTTAAATAGGGATAAAAATTTACTTTTTGGTAACAATAAGGGCCTTTAGATAAAATAATAATAAGTTGAATATGCTGAAAAGTCAAAGCATGACAACTGTTGAGCAGGTGAAGGATCTGGGATGCTGCTGGTCTGCCCCTTTTTCAAAGGTCCTCAGAACCTTCAGAGTTCATTGTATTATCAGTGCTTTAGAAAACCATTGTTTTGAATAAAGATCTACTGGAGTACCACTAAACAAGGTTATTTTGATCTAGATAGGAAGCTTAGCGAAAGGACATGTGATGGAAATATGGTCTGCAAGGCACCCAGTCAGGTGTTTGCATGGCAATCTACGGACATCGACAGCTTCTATAAAAACAGCTGTAGGGTTGAGCAAAATAGAGCATGAGAGGGGACCAAGAATGGATTACTGAAATTGTACAAAACCCAGTCAAGTTTCCTTTTTTTGTTCTGTTGGCAAAACAGATTGTTAGGATTAGCATGGCTGGTCATAGATGGTATATGTTGAATTGAAGGGCTTATTCTAGAAACAAATACGGTATTTTATTATTGTTCTTTTCTGGACTTAGGGCCTTGAAAGGATGGCAGCAAGGTGATGAAGTCTTGATGAAGTTGACTTTTTACTTTCATTTTAATGGGATGTCTTGTTTTGAGGGTATGTGTACTTTTTTAAAATTGTTGTTTTTTCAGGCCTTTAAATAATATTCTTACACCAATCTTGTACATGAATTTATATATTCATTGAAAGTCAAAACTTTAAAAGGTTGGCTGTGAAAATGGTAACTGTTGACAAAACCTTTATCTATTGCATAAGATTTTCAAGCTTTGCTTTATTTAATGGCTTATTTAAAATATAAATGTGAAAAAAACAGAACTGCAAAAAAAGCTATTAAAAGATCTGGTTTTTTTTGTCTTTGTCTTCATTTATTTGTCCCTGATTCCTTGTATAATTGCTTCAATCATCTTCTCTTTTGCAGTCTGAACCCGTACAGCTATGATGAGAGCTGTGTGTCCAGCAGTGTTGACCACCTGCCTCTGGCTGCGCTCCCGCTCCTCGCTATTGTGTCCCCACGCTACCAGGACGCTGTGGCGACTGTCATCGACCGAGCCAACCAGGTTTATCGCAGCTTCCTGCAGTCTGACGATGGCCAGGGATTTACAGGGCAGGTCTGTTGTTGCTTCATCTGTTTATGAAGCAGAAGGGAATGTTATCATCAGTGAATAATGGGTTCTGGGCAGAGAAGTAAAAATGGTTTATTAGAGGGTTGCGTAATCTTTGGCTACTTGTGGGAGCCCAGCTTGTCGAGGGGCCTTACATTTTGTCTTCCACACATGGCAAATCATAACAAATTATATTTTCTAATGAGGTAATCATTTTTGGGAAGATTATTCACAAAGGAAATAATTCAGGCATTGGATTTGAGCTGTGGAAAGTAGATCATGTTTTTTTCCATTTTCAAACGCCCTGAAGCTTTTGAAAATTACATAATTCTAATACTTTGTTAGCACAGGAATAAGAGCTGAAAACATCTAGATCAGACATTTAGTCACAAAAAAGCACTAAAAAGCCTTCTCTAATAATTATATCTCCATTATTATGTTGTCACAATAATACTAAGAGTAAAGTATTGATAGAAGTGTCATAAATTTTGACTTCTATTTTACCAAAGTTTTGTTTGAGTATGAACTTTTACATTCCCTTTATTGTCTTTCCCTCTTCTTTTTGAATATATTTAATTTCCATCTTGTGGTTAAGCAGTTGATTATGATTCCTGTAATTAGCTCTGGCTATAAGCAGTTCAGCTCCACTCATCTACTTCATCAACTAAACAAATAGTGTGATTTTGTTGTTTTTTTGTCATGCATAATGGCTTTGTGAGATGAATAAAAAGAAAATAAAAAATCTGGACTTGAGCATCTTTTCGTGATGGTTTTAACATTGTCACACATTAGTGTGACATCTTAAACCGTAGTTGAAAAAATGCCCACACTCACTTAAAGTAGTACAGCTACACTTGATACAAATCTGTGGTATTTTTATTTATTAGAGAAAAGAAAAATTAGAGAAAACTTTTCCCGGTTGGTATTGCCTAAATCACCTCCATGTGATGCCAGTCACTGCTTGTAAAATGGACAAAGTCACCAGTTGAATGAATCATGCATTTCCACCCCTGCTTTGATTAAGGCATATGTCAAGAGTTTGACTTATTTTTTGATTTTTTTTTTATACAAAAACTGAAAGAATGACAGGTTATTATTTCAAGAGGATAACAATATTATATAAAAAAAAACACGAGTGTCCAACTTCAGCGCTCTTCCTACCTGCCTGTCAAATAACTTATGTAATGTAATAATCGCAGTTTATTATGTGCTGTGAAAATTGGGCAATAAAATCCTGTTGAAAGGCTTCATGTTATGCTTGAATGTGGCATTTTGAAAACTTTCTTCTGATTAGCAAAAAGGGATTTTATCTAAATATACAATACTTTTTACTCTTTTTACACTTTGCACACTTAATTGAACAATTGTTTATGAACATCAGAATTTGTCTTGTCACTGAAGTTCAGCATTTTCTGCTTCTCATTAAAATGAATTTATTCATCTCAGCTCAGTTTATTCATCTAGTTAACGGGCTGAATTAAACCAACTAAACTGCTTTAAACTGGAGCAACATGTGCACTCTTGAATGCCCACATATTCATGCAGCAGTGGCATTAGGGGACTTGTCCAGGGGCACATCATCATACGCCTGGACAAGCAGTCGGCTAAAATATAATCTATATATGGCCTTCCACATACTCCTCCTCTTTTCTAGCTGCCATCCTGTTGAGACATCGCTGACAGAAGCTGCCACCTAAGGATGAAGTTGAACTTGAAATGGTGTGTGCTCTTTGAACAGGTTTGCCTGATGGGCGACTGTGTGGGTGGAGTGCTTTGCTTTGATGCCTTGTGCTTCAGCAACCACCCGAGGCCTGGTAGCCCCAACAGCAGCAGCAGGAACAACAGCACAGAGAGCCTGAAGGTAGGAGCTCAGCGTTCAAGTGATAACACACACGGTGCAATTGTGTGTGTGTGTGTGTGTGTGTGTGGGAGAGGTAATGAGAGAAATTTTGCCCAGCATTGCATAATTACAACATCATGATCAAGATTGCATGCTTTTGTTATGTCTTGTATTCATCAGTGGGCTAAAATTACTGCAAGAGAGAACATGCACACTTTTGGCAATGTCCTTGGTACAACTTTGTTGCTTCCCAGAGAACAAATAGCTACTCTCATACATATAATCGGCCTCCTGCTATGTCTTCTTTCTGCCATTTTTTCTCTACAAAGAGCTTTTAAGCTAAACCTCTATTCTCCAGAGGATTTGTCCTTGACACCAGTCTAACAAAAAAGGGCATCAATGATTAAATGTATTCTCTGTGTTGCTCACAACCTGTTTGCTCTTAGATTGGGATTTTCCAGGTTCCTGAACGGCATCTTTGGCTGTTCCTGTGCCGTGTGTAAAATATTTACCAAAACATTATTGTTAACTTTGCACATTAAAGCAGCTTTTTTTCCATGTTTTTGTCACCTAGTCCTTTTTCACCACTAAAATATTCATTCCTACTTCAACATGTATCTCCTTCCCATCCTATTATGCAATTCCCATTCCCTTTTGGAGGTTTTATATTTAGTTCTCCTCCTTTGCCGCAGGATAACACAGGTCAGCTGCGGCAGTCGAGTCCTGGTTTGAGCTCAAGCAAGAGGCTAAGTAAGAGCAACATCGACATTTCTGCTCCCAATGAAGGCCAGGGCGGCCCTTCACTGAGCCGCAAGCAAAGTGACTCGTATGATGGGGACTCTTCCACAGGCCAGCACAACTTTTTTTCCAGGTGGAATATTAACACAACCCATTTTACTTTTATTCTATAAAAGTATTTACCCTTTAAAAAATGTCTTCCATCTTTGCTTTTTTGTCAAACCTCGATGTTTCTGATAATCTAACAAATTTTAATATCAAATAAGGAAAACCTGAACAATTTCAAAAAGCAGTTTTCAAATTGTGATTTCTTAAAAATTTTTGTAAAAGTAATTATTCCTTTAAACAATTGTCCCCCCTTGGTGCAACAGTGACCATAAAACATTTGCCATAACTGGTGATAAAATGCTAATTAGATATAAAAGGGATTTTAAAGGCAATTGAAAATCCTGTTTATCATCAGCAAATGTTAATTTTATGATTATTTTTACCAAAAGGTAATTTTTTCTTCTTAAATTGAAATACTGTTGTGATGTTACATCAAGCTCTGTTGTGTTTGATTGGGTTTTATATGATTAACTAATAGAAAATGCTACATGTTTAGTCTAAAGACTATTATAATGTCATTATTAGAAATGTTTACACAATGCACTTTTGATATTTTAACAGCTGGTTAATTTCTACTCAAGTTCTTAACTTAAAATTTCGGGAAAATTTAAGAAGCCTTTGTTTTACATCCCAAATTGCATAAGGTGGAGTTCTTTCAAAAAGATCCTCAATGCAGATTTGAACCACAACACAAACAGTCGACATTGTCAGGGATGAAGTTGTAGAGAATTTAAGACAGGATTTGGTTTCAAAGCAATAACCAATGTTTTTGATATGCTACGGAGCCATAATCAATGCACAGAGCTATGTTCTGTGTTCATCTTTAAAGGAAAGAGTTCAGCACAGCAGACCCCCTGGCTCCTCAATCTAAATCTTCAGGCCAGGCTTACCGGAGAGAAGCATCCAAGAGGCCCATTGAAACTCTGGAATAGTAGATAGACCCAAAGGTTACTTTTGACAAGATAGATTTAGTTGTGTATAAAACTAATTCTACTCCTTAAACACACCATCTTTGTAGTAGCAGCATTATGCTGTGGTAAAGCATTATGCGTGGACAGGGAAACCTGGTCGGTGAAAAGGAAGATGTGTGGTTGTAAATGCAGGGCAGTTCTGCAAGAAATCATGTTAGGGGGCTGTATGTAATCTATACTTGACAACTTTACTAAACTTGTTCCATTTTTCTGTTCCATAAGATACACAAATAAATCGTTAAGTTTGAAGCTTCCACAAAGTTTGAGGCATGGGAATCTTTTTTTAAATTTATTTATTTAAAAACACAAGCATTTAGGGAAAATGTATAATTTCTGTAATTAAACTTATTCTAAATAGTCAACTAAATATTAATAAAAGATCAGATAACTGGCCAAATATGTTCATTAATTGCAGTTGTGGTGTTGTCCATATATCTTAAATATCTTGCCGCTTAGCAATGAAAAGATAATGGGTTTATGCGATGACCTATATGTTGTCTATTAACCTTGTTTTTCCTGTAAAGTGTCAGCTCCTCTTGCTACTACTGTTTATTGATATATGCTGCTTTAAATGACTATTTAGCTCTGCTGGTAGACCAAAGGCCTTTCAGTTCATGTTTTAGACCCTCTGAGGTAAAATGTAAACTTATGGTTAATTTGCCTAAGCTTGGATAGACCTGGAAGAATTACAGCTGCCATGTTTACTCATTCAAAACAATTGGCTTTGATTCCCGGTCAGCCACCTGACATAAAGTTCTCCTCTCTGCTATATTCCCAGTGATGCCACACAGTTTATCAAGGCTGAGCTGTAACCTTTTACACCCTTTTAAACTCCCTATTAACTCTTAAGGCTGCACAGACAATTTCCTCCACTTCTGCTCTGTTTCCTCTCAGATCCCTGTAGATATTTTCCCAGTCACCAGGATGGCTAATTAAGCATCATTTCCTGATCCTCCCATCCTAGATTGATGTAAAGGTTTCATTAGTTCATTTTGCATTCATCAGTGCTTTGCACTGAAAGTTTCCCCTGGGATGATGTGCAAATGATCCTTTCTTTTAATGACTATTTGAAGAATTACATTGAAAGGCTAAGTTGATTTTTCAGATATGGCATTTCTTAAAAAAAAATTAAAAAAAATAGAATATTTTCAATGAATTTGTACCATTGAGATTATTGCAAATACTTTTAAAGATAAATCCAACACTGTTTAATGAAATCATTTAAATAGTCATGTTTGTCTAAAAAATCTCTCTATCCTGATGTGTTGAAATATGTTCCCCATTATGATAAAGACTATATAATATAAATAAAATAGCTAGATATATAAGTAATATATAGACAAAAACTACAGGAAGGTGGTTTTGTGACACCAATAAAGGCAAGAAAGTACAGTTGTTGCTAAGCAAAAACATTTTTGCTAATAAATAGAAAGGAAGTCTAAGAACCAGGAGAAGGTGACCAGTGATCAAAAGCTTTAAGACAAAGAGGTTAAGAAGTTAATCTGGCAAAGAAATCCAGTAAAGACACAATTGTTTAAAAGAGTATTTGCAACCTCAGGTTACATTCACATTGATAATGAATATCGCAGCTAGAGCAAAGGATTTCAATGTTATCTCTACGCAGAGAGTGAATATGGAGCAAAGCTAAGTGAAATAAAGCTGAGCGAGGTTAAGGGGAAATTTAGGGAGGTGAACAACCCGGTTTTGGTGAAGTTGGCGACATTTGATCATTGCCTCGCCTGCGAATGAAGTTGAAAAATCTTAAATTTTGTTTACAGTCTGCTCCTCTGCTTGGTTTTGATGTGTGTCAAGGCTGAATGTGAACTCAAACATATAAGAAAAAACTTACACTTGAGTTGACAAAAGCCTATTTTATTTTACTGCCTAAAAAATAAAATATTTTCATGTAGCCGTTATAATGCTGCATGGGTACGTGTATCCCTGGCTGGGAAACAAAGACTTATAAAAATTCAAACATGGTGCAAGCAGGCTGCTGCAAAACCTATTTTGGACAAATTGGACTGAAGTTGAATGAAGTTGCACTTGCTTTTGTTCATTGTTCCTTTGTCTGACCAACTTTTACACAAGCTTTAGGTAAAGTGACAAGGGTCTAACAGGATCTTTACAATATTTCTTATAAAGAGGAAAAAAGCTAGTTTTCTATTTTCCAAAGCAGAGAAGCAGGATAATACCATCACACTTAACTCATGTGATGTGTCTTTTCTAAAATCCATTATTGGTATTCTGCAAGATACAAGAAGATGCACAAAAATCCGCAAAAAAACCTTAATTGCTTTCTAAAACAATTTTGATTCATTACAAAACAAGTGGAGAAGGTTGCTACTTCTGCTATATTAATCATTGCTACTGTCCATGTTGTATTGAATCAAAGAGCATTTTCAATTCTGTAAATAAGATTTACTCTTTTTAAAATGTAAAGATTGCAACAATGTTGCACAGTACTAAAAAAACAAATAGATGATGAAGTGGTTACAAGAGAAAACAGGGCTTAAAAGGGCCACAGAAGGCAATCAGAGGGATATTGATTTGGCTTTTAAAAATGGCTTGAAATTGCTGGCAAATCCTTCCTCCAGTTGTAGGACTTAATGGGGAAATGTTGGCTGGCTGTTAAAGCAGAGGGATGGAGCCAGTCAGCAGCAGAGGATGTGACTGTGACCAGCCCTGCTGTTTAAACAGCTGTCAGCATCATACAGCCTGTGAAAGCTGAGCGAGGAGCTGCTCAGGTTTAGTCATAAAGGCTTGGTGCTGACAACTAGTACAGCGTGATAAAACTATCCAGCTAACATCTGAATCAGAGTAAAGTAAAAGGATTTCTGACTCATCTTAGTCTGGACAGATATATTGGATTCCAAGATTCAGCATAGGCTTTACTGATTTTTACATTTTTAGATCTATCCTAATAAGTTATCATTCTTTACTGAACTAATCTCTGCTAAGACTTAAAGGGCACTATTTTCACAAGAGGATGCTGAATACTTGACTAAAAGCAATACCATATTGACTTTCCTGTAATGCATTTTTTTCCTATGTTCAGTTTGATGAAGGAGAATGTGGAGGTGCGTGGCGGCAGCAGCACCAGTCTGGTGTTGAATCCAGGCCGCTTCGACTTTGAGGTGTCAGACTGTTTCCTGTTGGGTTGTCCTCTGGGACTGGTGTTGGCCATGAGACGCACTGTGCTGCCTGCCATTCAGGGTAAGAATCAGAAGCATGTAAAACATGGAACTTTAAGTTTGTCTTATTTTTATTGTTGTTTTATTTATAATTACCTTTTTTAGTAAACAAAAACTAGACTTAGGATGGAACCAAAAAGAGTTCTCTCTGTAGATGTGAAACTGAAATTTTTCATGTTTTATTTTTGCTTTTTTCTTACTGATTGCTAGAGTTCATTAAGCTGCTTAAAGTTCTAACTACCTTCTGGTTCAAAATAAAGATTAAACATTTTTTTGTAGAAAACAACATAAAAAAAAAACCTTCCTAATTGTCATACTTCTCTGCTGTTTTCTCTTTCTAAGTGGGCCAGCTGCGTCCAGCCTGTTCCCAGATCTTCAACCTGTTTTACCCCTCAGACCCTTCTGCGTCCAGACTAGAGCCCCTTCTGCAGCCTCTTTTTCATAAACTTCCACCGTTCGCTGTCCCACGCTATCAGCGCTATCCTCTTGGAGATGGACGCTCGCTGCTCATCGGTAAGATGGGATTTGGCGCAGAAAGAGTTTTTTGAAAATGTTAAAGCCTAGTCTATGTTTTTGCTTGGTTGTGTTTTGTATTTGTTTGGGTTTAAGTTCTATAAGGTGATGTGAAAGCCTTGAGAAGTCCTTTGATGGGGCTTAATTTTACTTCAAAGTCGTTTAGATACATCCTAAAGTAAATTTTGATGTAGAAACATGCTCCCAGATATCAATAGAGAACACACACAGCATTAATTCCATCTCAGTGAGTTTTTCCTGCAGAGGAAGTATTAAATCAAACCCTGAAGCTGGTGGTTTGAAATGGTTATACTTCATCTTTCTGGGTTGTGGTGCCTTCTGCTCTCCACTGCTCTGTGAAGACCAGGTAGAATCTGCTGGATATGAGTGCATGGAATAAATTAGTTCTACTGTTGATTCTCTGGAAGACTGAGTTCTTAAAGAGATGCTAGAACTGTTTAAAGGATGTTTAGCTCATTGCTGAGAAAAGCATTACTTGTTTTTTTTGTTTTTTTTACGTCTATAGAGAAAGAAAGTAGGACATTCACTCGTTCATCCTTACAGATTTCCACCATGAACCTACATAAAAAGACAAGGCTTTTTTCTTTGTAAGAAAACCTTTAACAGAACATCCTGCCATTGCTAGTAGACTTTGATAAAGCAGGTGTATGACCTACAATGTCAATCATTTAATTTTAAAGATGAAACACTCTCTTTTTTCTGACAATTCAGACTTTTTATTTTTTAATGAGTCAAACACATTGACACTCTATGTTTTTTTTTTATGGAAGAAAGTTGTGTTTTTTTTATACCACTTGATTTGTTGCCTTTCTTTTAAAATGTCTGGTGTTCCTCTGGGGTTTATTTTTTAGCTACTTTTATTTCAAATTAGATTAGTTGTAGTTACAATTGGCTGCCTGGTGGGGCTTTGGAAACATTAAATTTATGAAAGAAGGTATCAAGACACCATACTAGTAAATCAGAGTTTGTACAAATTAGTTGTCACTTTATAAATGATTTAATCAACTTTTAATTTAAAAGTCTCATTAAATAAAATCTAAATCTTATTTTATATGCATAAAACAAAATGGCAACAAAATGAAATTTACAGGGAGACAAATACACTGATCTATGCTACTATCAGGAGCAGATAATAACCAAGCAATTCAAACCTCATACAAGCGTAACTAAAAGCGCATTCCGGATTCCATGTGGCAATCATTTAGTAAACAGAAAAGAACCCAGAATAGAAAAAAACTGTATGTAAAAGATTGTTCAATAATTCAGCAGTATATAAAACGATCATTACCAGCATTATCTTCAGACTGTGATCTGATATAAATTTCTAGACTTCCAAAATGTTTATTCTATAAGCGAAGAATGTCATTTTATTTGGAATGGTGATTCTGACAAGGAGTTTTTTTTTTTTTTCAGAAATCAGAAATAAATTAATACATATCAAATCGGCCTGCCATCACCTTTGGTAATCACACTAACATTACTGGGGAAACTAGTGTATGGTTTGAATGGTAAATAATCAATGTATTCTATTTATGTTAAATCCCCTGGCAACAGATGAAGTCTAAAAATATTGTTCTAATAGGACCTGTGCATCATCTCACGGGGTTCCTCCTAATGTTGACTCTGTCTTCCATCACACAGTAAATACTTAGTTGCTGTTTCAAGCCGTTTCAGATCTTATCGTACCAACAAATGGTCATTGTTATTGGTTATCATTCTCATAGAATGGCTTCAGATTGTGCCTCCTACCTACCAGTAAGCTCATTAGGTTGTTATCACTCAATTAATCCTAATCCTAACCCAAAGGTAGTTACTTTTTCCCCATGGAATTAATTAATCTATTTATGTGTAATCTGAAAATAATTTCAGTAGTTCTTCATGTATTGTACAAAAAATAGGTGAGAAAATATCAGAATGTGGCAAACCAAAAACAGAAAATCTCATACCCTTTCAACTGAGTTGTTTTTAATCACAACAATAAATCTGTGACTTAAACATATAATTAATTCGAAGTAATACTTTAAAACATAGTTGTATTTTTTTAAATAGGTATATTTCAAATAAAGTAGATAAAAACTATAAAGTAGAAAAATAGTAGATGAAACTTATGGTTTAAGAGGTGGCCGAAGCGGCTGCTATCAATGATGAACTGCATTTTATCAACCATAAGAAAACAACTGGAAACCTACTGGGATATATATCATTACCCTTTCACAAATATCAAGTTCTGTTACATAGGTCTGTGTAATGCTGCTAATGTGAGGACGGATAAGGTCGTGGATGTACAGTAGGCTATTTGATTGATTGCGTATCACTCATAAACTTAATACATAAAATTTTTCTCAATATGAAAATCATGCATTAATCCTCTGTTAATAATACCGATCATTCTTTAATTGTATCGTCATCAAAATGACATGCAATGCTTGTTTTTTCTAAAACCTAATGTGTGAAGACCCAGCAATTCTTTTTTTTTTTTTATGCACAAAACTATGACAAAAATCTGACTAAATCAATAAATAAAACTATGTGATTGGCTGTAAGGAGTGCAGAGACAGAGCACACTCCAAGTTTATTGAACAAAACTTCCTACTGACCAGATTAGCTCTGGGGAGAATATTACTACGGTGGCAGAAACAGATAGAGGTTGAGTTAACTCTCTTTGTGAAATGGAAAGCTCTGATTTAAGGTTTAGAAAACCTAGAGTTTTCAGTAAACCTGCTTCTTGAAACAGACTCCAGCTGTCTTAATATTTTACTCTTGCAAATAATATTTCTCATTGAAAAATCCAACAATTGCTTCTGGAAGATCATGGAGGATATCATTCAACCTTGCCATACTGTCAACACATACTGTAGACCTACTTTCCAGACGTAGCCCAGTAAAACTCCTACTGTACTTCTTTAGATGTGGCCACACTAATGATGATCTGATATTCAGTAGACTTGCCTGCTTCCACCTCCCCAAAAGTAAATGGAAGCAGCAACAATTTTCGTTCTCCTCACAGGCAGCGTTTCCATTGGTGGTTTAGGAATAAGATTGTAAAATCTCTGTTTTGGTGTCAGTATGATTCTATTGGCAGTGTTATTCGAGTTTACTCTGAAAAATAATAACACAGCTAAATTATTTAATAACGTAATGATTGTCAAATTAAAAACATTTCATGATAATAGGTGAGATTCTTGTTAAACATCTTACGGTGTGTTCTTTTAAAGACCAGGATGTTTGTTATTCTATGTTTAATAGAACATGGCTCTATTCTATCTGGTTTAATTATTTATACGCATAGGAACAGTGTTTCTATCAATCTGTAGATGTTATACATGTTTTTGAAGTATGGATCCCATTTCAAATGTTTTGCTTTTTACTGCTTTTTGGCCTGAATACAAACTAGACATCATGTCTGTTTCCCCCTGCTTTATTAGGATGTGTAAGCTGTTTGTTTGTTTTATTCTAATTAACTACGTCTATGTTTAACCAGTCATAAAGCCTTGATGCATCTGTGAGCCAGTGGAGGGTGATGACAAAGGTTACGAAGTGTAACAGCAGATAGAGCGTCGACTTGCAGCTACAGCAGGTTTTAATTATAGGTCTGCATCTCGTTCCCATCGATCGGCCACATAGGCTGTCAAATTATGTGTTGAATTAAAAACAGTGGATGTGTGCAGTGGTTCAGTAGAAGCTGTTGTACACGTTACCGGTTTCCTGTTCTGTAATATAGTAATTAGTGGTTATGAAGGCATGGAGTGCCAAACACATCAGGGCTCCTCTGAGAATGACTTTGACATGAACACCCGTCACCTGTGCAGTTTTTATTATGATGAATGCTACTAATACAGAGAAGCTGAGCCATTCTCATATTGATTTCCAGCTGTGGGTCAGAAGGAAATACTATCATGCAAGACATGCAATGCGCATGGAGTTATGGTGGCATCAATCAGGTGTGGCTGCTTGGAGAACTGTCTTCTAATGCAAAGGTTACAGTTTTTTCTCATCATTACCAGATGGGGAAGCTTAGAGGATCCCTTTTCATACGTTATTTTCCCCTTCATTCTGTCAAAATGTTCTGAGGCCACATTACAATCACTTTCCCATGCATGAATCCTTACTACTGTCATCAGCGGCTTTAATCGCAATCTCTCTGCCGTAAGAGAAAGCTCTCTTCTTTGCCTCTCTCCTTTGTTTCTGTCTCGTCACTGTGTAGCCCTGTCTTCCCCGAGCACTGGCAGCACTAAGCATTTGAATTTCTGTGTTTTAGAAAACATGCCAGTGGCCTCTACTGTTTTCTCTCTCTCAATCACTGCCAAAGTAATGTTCTGGCTTCTCTTCACTCATTATCCTAAAAAAAAGAGAAATGTCTGAAAATTCTTTTCAGTCTGAAAGAAAATTAGTCCTTTTTTAATTGTTTAGCATCATCAATGACAACTGAGGATAGATAGTGGTAACGTGTATGAGAGTGCATTTTTTATGGAGATAAAGAATCTTTGCTGGTACAAACCATGTATATCGTGTTGTAAAAGTATTTTTCCCCTAACAGATACCTTCTTTATCAATTCGTAATATTAAAATGGGTTCAGAACTGATTTCTTCCTGACCCTTAGAATAAAAAAATTGACGATAAAGAAATGATCTGACAACATAAAGTAGAGTAGAATTTCATAAAAAAAACAAGATTTTCTATTCTAAACAAATTTGAAAACAGATAAGAAACAAAGCAGCTCTTATATATTCATCTAAAAAGGGTACCACTCTAGAATATCCTCCTTAAGTTTTTTAAGACTTCATTGAACCGCACTGAGAGCCATTATCTACACATGCAGTAGACCTGGAACAGCTTGGACCCCTTTGCATCTGGCATTCAACTTATAGAGCTTTTTATAAATAACACCATTCTCACATATAAACACAGAGGTGGTAGTTGTCATTGTAAAAAAAAAAAAATTCTAAGTCTTACATTAACAAGAAATGAGATTGATGTT